AACATGGGCGTAAGTTGCCGTCTTTCTTCCCGGTGAACAGCACTGGTGCTGCCCAGGGCGAAGTGGTTTGTCTGATGGTGCCGTTTTCTAGTCCTTCAGTGATCAGGGTGTCGAGTGCTTGGTTTTCGGCGGGTGACAGTGGAATGATCCTGCTTGCTTGGGGGAGGGCTCCCGGCATAAGGTCTACTCGAAAGTCGTAGATTCTTCTGGGTGGCAGTTTCTGGGCACTGGACTTGCGGAACATGTTGATATACCGGTGATAGTGGGTCGGGACTAGTTCTTCTGCCGTCTTCACAGGGGTCTTGGCCTTGCTGTCCGCCGCCAGTTGAGCCGATGTTGACCAAGAGGCTTTGGCGGCGCTGACATCTGCGGTTGGAACAAGTTCTAGGAGAGGAAGAGGCTTGCCAGCTGTTTCAACAGAATTTATGGAAGGGACCGCAGCGAACTCACATTGCGGGGGTGTTAACGTGTCAGAAACACACACCCCCTTGCCAAAAATCCTAGCTTGCCTCATGGGCTCCACGCCAATAGATGAGGCCTTTGTCGGAATTGGCAAAACTGGCTCGGCAGTTGCAATGGTCCTGTCTTTGGTGGTTGGGATCCGGTCGGTGGTGCTATGTCCTAGGAAGGGAAGAGGCTTGCCAGCTGTTTCAATAGGAATTTTGGAAGGGACCGCAGCGAACTCACATTGCGGGGGTGTAAACGTGTCAGAGACACACACCCCCTCGTCAAAAATCCTAGCTTGCCTCACGGGCTCCACGCCAAAAGGTGAGGGTTTTTTTGGAATTGACAAAGCTGCATCGACAGCTGCAAAATCCTGTGGGGTTTTCCTGAATTTCCGGTCAGTCCAATCAATAAGGTGTCCATGCTTACGGATCCAAGGCATTCCAAGGATTCCGTCGTGAGAGTCTTTCAGGCGAGTGATGATGAATGGGGAAGGAGATGGGTCGGTGTCGAGAGTCAGGTGGATATCAAAGGAAGAACGGCTTGAGGAACCGTCGAAACCAGAGATGGTACGTTGAGAGGGTCTGGCAACATCAAGGAGTCCCGTAGACTTGGCATAAGACTCGCCAATCACGTCATGGGTTGCTCCAGAGTCAATGAGAAAAGTAGCGGGAGGGAGTGGCAATGTGGTTGTGGCTCGAGAATGTTTGGGTGGCACGATGGGCAAAGAAATAAATAAACGCGGATCAATTTGATTTCTTGAAAAAATTTCACTGGCGCCAATGCTAACAACAAACAACTCTTCACTGCTCAGGATAGGCACATCCTTCATTCCTGAGCTCCTCCATTTTTTGACGACTCCGCTCTACTGCCTCCTGCCTTCAACTGTTTGACCTCTTCCTCGAGTTTGGCGATCCGGGACTTCTCCTTCCCTTTCCCCTTCTGTCCACGGTCCGGGCAATCCCTCGAGATGTGGCCTTGGTTCCCGCATCGGAAGCACTGGCCCGCTCGCATCATCCTGGTCTTCTCTGCATCCGAAAGGCGGCCACGCATGACTGATAAGTCCATTGCATTGGGGTCCGGGGTCTTGGCTGTCTCAGTGGGGGCTAGACCGTGAAGTTCATTGTCGATCTGCAGGGCCAGGGTGGCAATGTCGGCAAGTTCGGGGAATTCAGTCCGAGCCATCAGCAACATCAGGCGTATTTGGGATTGCAGGCCTTGTCTGTACTGGCTGACGAGGACGGCGGGAGCCCAGCCGGTGTTGTGGGTGTGCAGGTTGAACTGGTGGGTGTAGTGAGAAACCGACTTGGTCTGCTTGAGCGCTCGTAGGGCTGCTTCTGCCTTGGTCTTCTTCTCGGTGTCGCAGTACATGGCGGTGAACTGAGTGTCGAATTCGTCCTTACTGATGGCCTCAGTATTGCTCATCACTTTCTTCATCCACGGTTGGGCCCACGAGCTAGCCGGTCCAGTCAGGTAGGACAACACAAACACCATAATGGCGCGGTCGGTGCCAAAGAGGTGTCCGTTGGCCAGGACGTAGAGGTTTACCTGGTTGATGAAAACCTCTGCTTTAGCTCCGCGGGTGCCATCGAACTTGTCAGGGACGCCAATCTTCGGGCCTTTGGCCGGTGTGGTAAGATTGATCAAACCCGTAGATGTAGTTTAAAACATTTTATTACACATAAATAATGTTTAAGATGTTAGAGAGGAAGGGGTAAAACTACAGAATAAAATGTATAATAATTACTGGGTTAAAATATAGTTAAAATAAAGCACAAATCAGGCCTAAAATACATAACTCCTTATGAATAATAATTATACAAATAGACTGTAAAAACACATAAAGAGATACTACATCCATCTTAGAATGGTAAATCAAGGTATTGATCAGAAAGTACTTCACAGACTAGCTTTAGAAAATAACTCTTATACTAATTAGTCTAAGAATACCATTCTCATAGCAATTAATCTAAGAATAGGCCTCATATAGTAGATTTACAACCTCTAGTATTAGAAAGGCACTTAGAGATTAATTCATATCAGATTAGGCCATCTCAGAGTAGCAAAAACCACTCTAGAAGTACCCTTCTCAGACGAACTTGTGTTCAGGCCAAAAACTCATGTACTGCAGAACCATTTGTCTATAAATAGAGGTTCCTCTGGCTCATGTTTTCCTTTCTCCCTCCTCATGCTAGCTACAGAACAGTAATCAGAGATATTACTCAGCTTTCATCACCCTTGATTAAGAAATCCAGAGATTATTAGAGCCCCTGAACTTCCCTTACCTCAATTTTGGCCATAGACAAGTAATTCAGAAATATTGCTTAGCCATTCTCACCTCTTTGAAAGATTTAGAGAAATCAGCGTACCTTTTATCAGAGCCCAGAGAAACCAGAGAGACTTATAAGATCAGAGAACCAGAGAGAATTTATAACAGATTTAACAGAGAAACCCTACAGAAACCCTTAACACTCAGAAAACCCCATAAAACTCCTTACTTCCTCAACAGGAATTCTTAAGCAACAACAACAGTAGTATCAACACTAAGATAAATTTAGAAATAAGCCACACTCCTATTTTTCTTAGTGTAACTTTCCCGCAAGCTAGACAGGAGGGCAGTCTCACCCACACACCAATACTAATTCTAGTATTTCATAGTCTTATTAGCTATTTTATCCCCTCCAAGCTCTTTACTCACTTGCTGAGCAGTTCCACACCGGCAGGGCTGGTCCTTGCGGTTTATTGTCGGCGTTCTTCAGGGCCTTCGCCAATTGGGCCTCCTTTCTGGCTAAACGCTCCTCCGCCTCCTTCCGGACCTTGCGTTCCTCCTCGACCACGGCCAAGAGTTGGGTCAGTTGCGCCTGAACCTCGGCAAGTTTGGCGTCTTTATCGTCTACGTCCATAGCAAAACAGTACGGGGCGGCTCACAGAGTGGCAGGTAATGCTTTGACGGTGTGTAGTGACTTCGGAAGGTGCAACTAAAATTGTGGAGGCTTACTTTTGTACTTTTACGCCTCGCCAAACGGCTCGTGTGAGCTCTCTTCGGGGATCTGGGGTGTGTTGGGGGGGTTCTGGGGTCTTTCAGGTTTTTCTGGGGTCTTTCAGTGGTTTCTCTGTGGGTCTTGGGTCTTTTCAGGGGGTCGGGGGTTTATTCTGGGGTTTCTGGGGTCTCACAGGGGTCTTTGGGGTTGGTCTGGGGGTCAGGGGTCTGATTTGGAGGCCTGGGTCGAAAAAACGGCCAGGGGTCTTCCAGGGGTGTCTGCTTTCCTCTGGGGGGTCTCAGGGTGTCCCTGGAGCGCACTGGGGGGCTCTAAGGAGTCGCTGGGTGGCTGGGTTGGGGTTTTATCTCTTGTTTCAGAGGGGTTCAGGGACCTGTGTGTCCTTTTCTGGGGGAGTTCAGGGGTGTGTAGGGGGGTCTGGGGGTGTCCACTCCTTGCTCTGGGGGTTTCAGGGGTGGTGGTGTGGTTCAGTAGTTCCAGGGGGTCTGCTGGATGCCTTGGGATCTTCCCTGAGGCCTCTTATGGGGTCTGGAGAGGTCTGGGTCGCTGCTGAGGGTCGCAATCGGCCTCAGCAACGGTCGGAATGGCCTGAAGGTCGTCGCGAAGTCGCTGAGCGCGCTAGAGCTCTCCTGGTGCTACCAGCGGTGTCGCTGACTCGGTGACGGGTCCTGGGGCCTCTAGAGGCTTCTGACCGGTTAGAACGGTCGCTTGGGGCCTTAGACGGTGTTTGGGGCCGTCCGATGATCGTTCCGACGACTAAGGGGTCGGTCTGAGGACCGTTCCGAGGTAGATGGGGGGGTATGGGGGGTCGAGGGACGGTCTAGAGGCCGTTCCGAGTAGAAACGGAGGGTCCTGGGGCCGTTCCGAGGCTTCTGGGTGGATTCCGAGGGTCCGTAGCGGCCTGAGGGGCCGTTTGCAGCGATCCGGTGTAAAGCCCGACGATCCAACGATGAACGGCGACCAAGGGGTTTCCTGGGGGTCTAGAGGCTCCCTGGGGTTTCCTGTGGGTACAGGGAAAGAGGGAGAGTTGCAGGGGAGTAAGTAACAGGGTTGAGAGGAGTGATAGACAAGGTTTGAGATAAGGTTTGAGGAGTGATTTTTCAAGGTTGATTTTCAGAGTTTGCGAGGCGGTTTCGGAGGTGTTGTTCTGAGTATAGCTGTCCTGGTCTCCTGGTAAGTGATCTTGCAATATGTTAGGGTCCTTCTGAGGGGAGCAGGATAGGATCTTCTGGGTTCTGGTTCGTAATGGTAGATTGCAAGATGAGGAATGTACAAGGTTCGGATCTCGAACGAACTCCAAGTTCGAAGTTCATGACATGTACGTAAAAGGCTCTCTACATATGTGACGTCCCCAGTTCCAGTCCTCCACAGCTCATAACAAGCATGAATATGATTCAAGTTCCATTTGGGTGGCTTGCTGCCTTTGCAACCCCGTGGATACACCCATGGAATTGACAAGCCATCACCATTCTCCCAGCCGTCCAAAAAGTTGAGGGAAAGAGCTCGAGCAAGGAGTGATCTTGGTAGCGGAATCAGTGCAGCTGGGGTTTTGAGGGCCTAGGAGATGTGATTGTGGGTCCAAAAATTCTCACTAGGGAGACTGAAGTCTGTGGAAGATTGGGGGACGATTAGTGTTTGAAAAAATAGTATAGTGAAGTAAAAGAGGAAGTGAAATGCTCACCTCGATCAATCAAAGCTTTCAGCATACTGATTATTTGTGCTGCACCAGTGGGGGGGCAGTAACGGGCTTGCAGGGGCCCAAATAAAACACCACAAATTCCAGACGCCATAAATGATGCAAGCAAAGCAAATGATATGTCCTTCGAGTTGGTGAGCCCGCGGAGGTTGGTGATAGCCAAGGCAATGTTTTCGCAGCAGGAATGTAATTGCTCAAAAGATGAGGCTTCCATGCGCCCACTTGACTCTGGCGCCAATTCCACCAAGGGGTTGTTGGTGCTTGCAAGCTTGAGGGCGTCGGAAGGCCGACCTTGGCGGAGGCTCAATGTTGCTGGAAGACAGTGGCAAACCGGACAAAACGTTTTTCTGCCCAGGGAAAGTCAGCCAACAAGTTTTGCAAGGCAGAATCCAGGGCTTGCCGGCGTATCAATGGGCTAGCGAACAGATGCTCATTGGGAAACATATACATCTTGGGGCCTAGGCGAATAGATTTTAAAGTCATTGTGAGGAAGAAAATAAAGATGAACGTACATTTCCCTTCTACAGCTTGTAGCCACTCCTTCGGACTCAACCCACGCGGTGTGGTAAGAACAATCAAACCTATAGCCATAATTAAAAATACTTTATTACATATGAATAGTAATTAAAATATTAGAGGATAAGGGGTAGATTAGGAAATAAACCACATAAATATTACTGGGCTAAATTGTAGTGGAATTAAATCACAAACTAGGCCTAAGATATTTTATTTCCCATGAATAAAAATTATACAAATACCCTGTAGAACTATATTTCATCCAGCTTAGACTGATAAATCAAGGTATTGATCAGAAAGTACTTCACAGACTAGCTCTAGAAAATAACTCTTATACTAATTAGTCTAATATAGTAGATTTACAGCCTCTTGTATTAGATAGGCACTTAGAGACTAATTCATATCAGACTAGGCCATCTCAGAGTAGTAAAAACCACTCTAGAAGTACCCTTCTCAGACAAACTTGTGTTCAGGCCAAAATCTCATGTACTGCAGAACAATTTGTCTATAAATAGAGGCTCTTCTGGCCCATGTTTCCCTTTCCCCTCCTCATGCTAGCTACAGAATAGTAATAAGAGATATTACTCAGCTTTCATCACCCTTTGATTAAGAGATCCAGAGATTATTAGAGCCCTTGAACTTCCCTTACCTCAATTTTGGCCAAATAAAAGTAATTCAGAAATATTACTTAGCCATTCTCACCTCTTTGAAAGATATTAGAGAAATAAGCGTACCATTTATCAGAGCCCAGAGAAACCAGAGAGTCTTATTAGAACAGAGAACCAGAGAGAATTTATATCAGAGAAACCTTTCAGAACCCTTACTCCCCAGAAAACCTCACAAACTCCTTACCTCTTCAACGGGTATTCTTAAGCAACAACACTAGTAGTATCAACACTAAGATAAATTTAGAAATAAGCCACACTCTTATTTTTCTTAGTGTAACTTTCCCGCAAGCTAGACAGGAGGGCAGTCTCACCCACACACCAATACTAATTCTACTATTCCATAGTCTTATTAGCTATTTTATCCCCTCCAAGCTCTTTACTCACTTGCTGAGCAGTTCCACAAGTGGTGTCCCAACAGTGGCTTGATTTCCTCAGATAAATTTAGTCTTTAAAGAGATACTACTCCCTTTGCTAGTCTTACTCAGAATACCTGAACCTTTCTCCAATCTCACCTTAGAATTTTAAGAACCCTTATAACAGTTTAGCAGAAAAATGTCTGAATACACCCCTCTCATCAATGTTGGTAACACTGCCTTTACCCAGCATCAAGAACCATCCGTAGCTTCTTCTGGAAGTTCCCTCATCCATCCTCTGGACACCAGATTAGACATGCCACAACCTAGTCCTATTACCCCAGATAACCATCTTCAATCTCATCACTCAGTAGCAGAATCCAACACCCATTTCCTCGAAAAAGAACCGGAGATTCCTAAATACGCGGGGCCAACCAATGGACGTAGGGTAGTCAAGATTAAGCCCTTGGACAAGGAATTATTCTTTGATGGAACAAACATGCCGATAGAGAAGTTTATCAAGCGTTACGAGCGTGCGGGAGAAGCGGATGGAGCTAGCGCTGCGGATTTGGCGAAACAAATCATTTCGTTCGTAAGAGGAGGCAATTTTAAGGATGAGGTCGAGGAGATGGAAGGATATGAGACGGTCGAGTGGGAGGAGTTGAAGAAACAATTGTTGGATCGGTTTGGAAAGTCTCTGCCTCTGGTGAAATATACGAAGCAAGACTTGAAGGATTTAGTCAACACCGCTGCCAAGAAAGGAGGCATTTGAACCTTGGAGGAGTTTAAGATATTTCGGTCGAAATTTGAAATGATCACTCACTATTTGGTTCGGATGGGATACAACTCTGACTTGGAAGATTTTCGAGAATTGTTGTTGGAGGCTCTTAGTCTACCGTTAGAAACTGCTGTCACTCGGGAACTTATCCGTGACAATAAGATGCGCGTTTCTAAGGATGGAGGCGATATTCTACCGGTCACCAAGATCATCGTTCAATATATTCAGAGAGAAGTTCAGTCAACCTCCGTAATGGAACGTAGATCTTTGGGAAGGCTTGAACAAACCAACGTAGAGCCAGCTAAGCCCATCAGAAACCCCATGCCCAGGCTCCCAGCACCAGCACCACAGCCAGAATCCTACGAGAAAAAGATCCAAGACCTTACCAGACAGTTAGCCTCTTTGACTGCAGGAAAGATGGCACCTCTGCACCAACCTTTGGATGCAAATCTCCCACCTTCGGCTGCTCCAACCAACGTACCCTTTGAAAAGCCAGATTTTAAATGTTACTACTGCTTCCAGGATACTCACAGTAGCAATAGATGTAGTCTATTTGCCTTTGACGAATCTCGAGGACTAGTAAAGCGTGAAGGACGGGATTATCTTTTGCCAGACAACACCAAGATTGCATGGGATACTCGTCGAGCCATTAAAGATGAAGTGGATAAATTTGATCGTAACTCTAAGAAAACTACTACGGCTGTGGTAACTTCCTCATTTGGAGAGTTAGAGGAATGTGAAGTTGAAGAACACGCGGCGTATGATAGAGATCGTTCGTTCGGACCTGTTGGGGGGTACCTGCCACACTTCAGATCAAGCCCTCCACATCAACAGCCACCATAAATACCAGTGGGGGGCCCAGTACTAAACATTCATCATTACTGAACCCTCTGGAAGCATCAGTGGGGTCTGAGGGTGTGGAGGGAGTGTTTTGAAGTGTGGCAGGTACCCCCCAACAGGTCCAAACAAACGATCTCTAGCGTATGATGTGGACTTGGGGAAGCAAACACGGTCGGAAAAAGAACCGGAGAAATCTGGTAGTGGGAAGAAGGGAAGAGTTGAAAAGGATGCTGTAATGGACATTGACGCCGAGGATTTGATCAAGAAGGCAACGGCTCAAAAATCTGCTCAAGGACCTTCGAAAACTACTACCGTACCCGCTAAGGTTAGATTCGAGGAACAAAGATCCGAGAAAGAAGAAAGAGAAAAACCGACAAAGAAAACTCACTTGGAGAAAACTTTGGCAAAAGAATATCCAGGAGTTGAAGAAGAAACAGCGAAGCGCATGTTGTCAGAAGGAAAAATGACTCTGAGTTATGGAGAAATTTTTGCAATCTCGAATGGAGTCGTGGATATTTTCCAGAAGAAGATTTCGAACAGACGAGTACCCGTGGAAGAAAGCGAAAGTTCCAATCATGCGTCTCTGGAAAATAATGAAGAAGACGAACTCTCAGTAACGCACTATTCCTGCCCTCTATTAAACTTAGTATTAATGGTACCAACAGCAAGGCTTTATTGGATACTGGATCAATGGTGAATTTGATGCCGGAGCATATGGCACAGAACCTAGGATTGGTCGTAACCGAGAAGCCGATGAACTTGAAAGGAATAGGTGGACACCAGACAGGAATCATTGGAATCGCTGAGGGAGTCGAAGTGGTGATTGGAAAAATAACGAGACCCGTTCACTTTTGGATAGCGAGAGGAGCCGTACAGTTCATCTTAGGGAAACCTTTCCTGATTGACATTGCAGCTACGATCAAATACATGGATAACGGCGGAGAATCTTTGGCTATCATGGATAAAAAGGGAAAGACTTATTTAATTCCAATTTTGCTACCATGTCATCAGAAATGGGAGACCACCTTACCCACGCATCTAGTCACGCGGGATTTTTTAGATTAGACCCCGGACAAAGACTGCCTGAAGTAGATAAGGAGCCGGGGCAGGTTAGAATTGAGTGTCAAGCTGCAAAGTATAAATCTACTGCAAAGAAAAT